GTGTCACATGACCAGCCCACAAACAGTTGTAGTCCCCTGTCCCGAGAAAGCTCCAGCTCCCCTTCTACTGGGGACTGTTGTAATGATGAGCTCACAGTCTCCTCCCGAGACTGCCTACTAGTCCTTACTGGGAGCATTCTCATTTAAAGTCAGTTTCCCCCTTACCCTCTGAACTTCCCCTATTTCCTTGATGGATGTATTCTTATTTTAAAGTTCCTAGAAAACTAGTTCTTCCTCTTCACTAAGTTCTTTTTGTTATGTTAGCTTGCTATTCTCAGGACTTCCTTAGTCCTGAAGATGGACCACACCAGCTGGAGAGATTGCTCACAGGTTTATTGTCGTTGTGTGCTGTTAAGTTGTTTGTGACTCATAGTGTTCTTATAGAGTTTCCAGGAGGGTGATAAATACAAATGCTGCCAATATAAATCACTGATGTCCTTCTTCTCCAGAGACTGATTCCTCCTGACCACATGAGCAATATCTTCTCAGCATCACGATTTCTAAAGAGCATTCTGGTTATACTTCTTTCAACTCCAGAAGTCTATAGAATAGTCGAGATTCTTTGCCAACAGAATTCAAATGCATCAATTCTCCTTTGGTCTTCCTTATTTTATTATGAATTATTGAATCATGACTTGGATCAGGTGCACCTTAGTCTCCAAGCGACTGATCCTTCTTGATAACACTAAGTTTGTGTATTCAAGCACCTTTATTTAGCAAAGATGAATAAACCGCAGAACCTGCATGGAGGGTAGGTGAACCTCCAAAACTTGCCCTGAGAGAATCTTTAAACTGTAAACCAAAATTATCTCCTAAAGTCTTCCTTGACCAAACAATCATTTAGTTTAACATATGTTGGCCGTGAGTGATGGGAAAGAGACCACAGCAACTGGAAAGATGAGATGTGAAGTTTAGGATGTTCCTGGGGGAGGAACAGTTTGGAAAAGGAGGCTGAAGATGGTTGCATGACTTGAAGAATGTAATGAATGTCACCGAATCATATATGTAGAAAATTGTATGTTCTTCTGTGCATATTCTCAACAACAACAAAAATTAAATTCATTACAAAAAAGACAATAATAGTCCCTATCCCGGGAGCTGGTAGTCTACAGGGGTAAGGGGTCCCAGTACCCTGGGCCTCAGTTTTCTAAGCCACACCATTCCGCACCCACTTCACCTGTTGTCCTTCTGTGATAATTCCCATCATGTCCCACTTCACTTTGTCACCAACAGTCAAGGGATGGAGACAACCAGCTGGGAGAGAGGTCTTGGTGGCACCGGGAGGGTCAGGGAAGCTCTGAGACAAAAATCACAGGTGGGGGCGGGGGGAGGCAGGGAGGGAGCAGAGAACCTGGGACGGGGGGAAGGGCGGTGCTGGACTCAGAGAGGGGAAGAAAGTCCGGGTGCTGCGGGTTGGTCAGTCATAGGAAGCATGTGGATTTCATCCTGACCTTCCGGAGACCAGTGGCGGCTGTCGTGGTGGAAGAAGAAAAGCTGAGCGGACCTTCCTTCCTCCCGCCTGGCGGTTCCCAGGCGTCTTCATCTGTTTCGCTGAGCTCGGTAGTCCGGGGGGCCATAGACCTGGGCCTGCTGGGCCCCTGTCAACCACGGCGCTCCAACTTCCCTCCAGACGAGGCCAGGGTCCCACTCCATGGTGTCCAGTGGGCAGTGCAGGACCCGGGAAGGCTTGACACAGGGGCCATAGGGTCCTGAAACTCTCCCGGTGCGGGGACCACAACCCAAACCTGACATCCTGCAAGGCAGGGACACTCGTTGACCACTAGAGGGGGCGCGCGAGCTGCGCTCCTGCCGGAGAAAGCGGGTGTGCGGCCAGCCTGGGGTTAGGGCGGTGGAGCGTTTCCCACGAGCGGCTGGTGAGTTTGAACAGCCGACCTTGCAATTCAGACCGACCTCTCGGTCTAGTGCTTATCTTACAGGGCCACACCAGGAGTCCGCCGAGTGCCTGAGCCCCCACAAACACGCACCGCTCAGTGTGGGGACCCGCGGGGAGAACCAGAAAGCAGACCCTTCAAGGATGGTCACAGTGGTGGGGAACCAGCCCCCGGACCCTGTGGGTGATCCCCAATCCCAGTCTGGAAAACACATCTCTAGCCCGACCTCATAGACTTCTGGGGGTGGCGCTGTGGTATCCGCAATGGACTGCGAACCACAAGGTCGGCAGTTCAAACCCACCAGCTGCTGCTCGGAAACCCTCTACATGGTCGTCGACTCCAGGGAACTTAACAACAATAAAGTCCAACCTCTTTCAGTGGGACATCCGAGGGCGAGGAGGACTTATCCCTGCCGGCTCCAGGTGTAGCCCCATCCCCGCAATCCAGACCCCGGCAGCACTCCCACCCAGAGGGGGTGCAAGGGCCCCTGTTAGCCTGCACCCAGACCTCAGCCTGGACCAGCCTCCCGGGGCTTTGGCCACATCCTCTGGGCTCTCTGGGAGGTGGTCTGGGGGCGCTGGGAGAGGAGCTGGGGCGCGTGCCTGGCCCCTGCCCTTGAGGAGCCAGGGCTTGGAGGGTTTGTGGGAGCTGAGTGATGGCAAGCTTAATTAATTATTACATGAAAACGGGCCCATTCGGGGCCGCAAGCAGGAAAGTATTAATCACCCGCTTCCTCCGAGTGACAAGCGCATTTCCCTCCGCCCCCCCTCCACCCCCGCCCCCAGTACTGAGTTCACCCGGTGATGAGCTGAGCGGTGCCTGCTTGTTCCCTCAAGTCACAGCTCATGAATATTCCAGCATTGCAATTTGCCTTTTTTTTTTTTTCTCAATTTTTGCAATTTGCTTTTTAAAAGGACAGCCCTATTCTTTCATTTTTAAGTTTGCTGTCATGCATAGTAATTTTCCAGGCTCTGAAGTAACGGTCCTGCAGTGGCTCTTCTGGTCAGCCAGGCAGAGGAGGATCCGGGAAGTGCAGGACCCTACCCTGTAGGGACAGACCCCAGTCCTCCTGACACTGGGGAAGGCCAGTGAGGGGCCCAGACTGGGCTCTCCCCCACTTCAGTCCTCACAGCACTCTGCAGTTTATAAAGCATGGTCACAACTCTGTCACCATCTGTGACTGAGGTGGTGTGGCAGGAAGGCTGCTGTTTGTTTGCTGTGTGATCTTAGGCAAATTTTTAGCCTCTCTGAGCCTCCATTTTCTCATCTGCTAAGTGGGAGTACTGTGCCGAGATTTGACCCCAGGCTTCTGTAGTGGCAGAGTTGGGGTTCTTGTGCCCCCACCCCTACTGTCATGGTGGAGCCCAGGAGCCAATGATGACTAATAGAAAGGTGGGAGATTTGAATCTGCCCAGAGGAACCCCAGGAGAAAGGGCTGCTGATGGACCTTAGAAGAACCCACCACTAAACCCCCCTGGAGCACACATGGAGTCTCCGTGAGCTGGAAGAGACTCACTGTGGGCCCCAGCACCTGGACTTCACACCTTCTGTTTGATGTGACAGAAATGAGGCGCCCAGAGCTAGAAGGAGAGAGCCAGCCCAACGCAAGCTCTGTCATCCAACGCCATGACAAGCTTGTTGGAGTGTCTGAGAAACCACCAGAGTTCACTGTATCGCCAGGACGGTTCCCGGGGAAGGGGCTGGGGCTGAGCCTCCCTCAAGCACCTCCTTTTCCCCCTGGGCACTGGTCACTGTCTCCATCACAGGCCTCCCCACCTCCAGTCTGAAACCCTCAGCAGCTCCCACCCCACAGCCATCCAGGATAGACGCCTCCTGAACCTGACCTCCAAGCCAGCAACCTGGGAGATGAGAGTCCTTGTCACCTAGTGTGGCTGGTATCCAGTGTATTCCGACTCACAGCAACCTTTTCACAAAAAGAACAAAATACCCAGTCCTGCACCGAGCTCACCATTGTTATGTCTGAATCCATTGCTGCTGCCACTGGGTCAATCCATCTTGTTGGGGGTCTTCCTCTTTTTCACTTACCCTCCAGGGACTGGTCCCTCCTGATAACACGTCCAAAATACAGGAGACAAAGCCTCAACACCTTCACTTTTAAGGAACATTCTGGCTGTACTTCCAACTCCTTCTAGCGGCCTATGATACGGTCAACATTCTTTGCCAACATAATTCAAACACATGAATTTGCCTTTGGTCTTTTCTATGCAATAACCACATATGGATGTGAAAGCTGGACAGTGAATAAGGAAGATCGT